ACGACTCCGCCTTCTGGAACTGGTGTGGTGGTGCGTGTGAGCAGCGTGGTGGGAGCTCGGCGGCCGCTGGTGCCGGGAGCAGGACTGGTAGAGACGCGCTTGCGGGCTTCGGCTGATGGAGGTGGCGGCTGGCCGGCAGGGAGAGCGGCCGCGGCTCGGAAGCTCCTGGCTTCGCCGCTTGCGGGTGTCCTTCCTGTTGAGTATGGCGATGAAGGTCTTCTGGAAGGTGGGCTCCGGCATGGCCTTGTTCTTCGGTGGCGGAGACGGCCTTCTGGCCCTTGCGCACCTGCCGCCGGCCTCGTGGCTGATGATGGGCGCCGTCGCATACTTGATGTGTCTGGGCGTGTCGTCCGAAGCGAGGGCCGCCAGCTGCGGGCTGCTTTCCGACCCGTGGAAGGAGGAGCGGCGCGGCGATGACGACGCAGGCGGTGCTGGGCGTGCGGCCGCAGAGCCGCCGTCTCGACGCCCGGGAGATTTTCGACACTGTTCTTCCGGCTCTTGCCAACATCGCGTCGGGCGATCGCACGGCTCGGGACTTTAAAAACACTATACACTTTGGCACCGGCGTGGCACCTGGTCGCCATCCCGCCGCTACTGCTTGCAACACTCGGCCATATAGTCCAATGACCGGCGTCACCGTTCGACGCTGCACAGGCGACACTGGGGACACTTGCCCTTGGAGGAGACACCACACAAGTGTAGGTATGGGTAGAGGTGTTTTTGTGATGTGATGTGATGAGGGGAGGGGAGGGGAGGGAGGGGAAGGGAGGGGAGAGAAATATATCTGTGCGTGTGCGTGTGTGTGTCCGTGTGTGTGTTCGTGTGTGGGTGTGTGTTCGTGTGGTGTGTGTCCGTGTGTGTGTCCGTGTGAGTGTGTGAGTCGTGTGTCGTGTGTCCGTGTGTCCGTGTGTGAGTGTGCGTGCACGAGGTTGGGGAGGCCTTATCCTGCTTCTTCCGAATTCCACACCGACTCCTGCACCGCTTCGCCAGGTGAGGCCGTTTCCCCAGGCTGTCCTGGCGCCGTGGCCGCAGAAGGAGCAAACGCGAGCGAGAACAGGGCGTGTAGCGAAGCAGGAGAGTAGCTTGACACTGACGGCGTCAGGCAGGAAACACACTGATAACAAGGGCCAAACCACGAGCGCTGCCACATAGTTCTGCCGCAGGCGTAAAGTCCTATCACTCGGGTCTTAAAATCCTTAACTTGGGTCACAGGACACTCGGAATACGTTTACTCTGGGCTCTCTGGGTTCTCTATTCTCTCTCCTCTTCTCATAAAGGGCAGAACCGTTTTCCTAAGCATTCTTGCGCAATTTCTCCCAGATCATACGAACACCCGAGGTTGGACATTTTGTTCTGAATTTCATATCTATATTTTTAAGTACGTTCATCATTTGTCTATATATTATCAATCATTTTGTTTTTAAACCCAAACGCTGATTTCGGGCACCCCTGACTCGACACTCGCAGCAATTATCATAAATAAGAAATAAGTAGATGAGCATTTCCTCGATTTGTTTACATTCGGACGGCGACAACTTCAACGTCTGCTCCGACAGCTCTCGGAAATTTCTTTTGAACGACGAAGAAAATGGACAACAAAACGCCTACTTGGAATCCTAACGCTGAGTTCCTCTTTCTCTCTTTGGGCCTCCTCGCCGACGCTCGGATAACGAAACACATAGATAAGTTAATGCACAAGAATGATACTGCACATTATACACATATATACTAACACAGGCACAGACATACAGACACAGACACAGACACAGATACACGTACACGCACGCACGCACGCACACACACACTAATGGTGTTTTATATAAATTTAGTACATCTTTATAATAGACGATCCAATGTAGTTTAGTACATCCTTATAGCACATCTTTATCTGACTGACTCACTAACTGACTCACACTCACTCACTCTCTCTTTCCCTTTCTGTCTCCCTCTCTTTTTCTCTCTCCCTCCCCTTTCCCCTTCTCTCTCTTTCCCTTTCCATTTCCATTTCCCTTTTCCTCTCCCTTTCTCACTCTCTTCCTTTCCCTATCTCCCTTTCCTTCTCCCTCTTCCTTTCCCTTTCCCTTTTTCTCTATCTTCCTCTCCTTAACTCACTTTCCCTCTCCCTCTATCCCTTTCCCTTTCCCCTTTTCTTTCCCTCTCCCTTTCCCTTTCCCTTTCCCTTTCCCTCTCTCTCTCTCCCTTTCCCTATCTCTCTCCCTATCCCCCTTCCCCTTTCCCTCTCCCTATCTCCCTTTCCCTTTTCCCTCTCTCCCTTTTCCCCTCCTCTCCCTCTCTCCCTTTTCCCCTCCTCTCCCTCTTTCCCTTTTCCCCTCCTCTCCCCCCTCTCTCCCTTTTCCCCTCCTCTCCCCCCTCTCCCTTTCCCTTTCCTTTCCTTCTCTCCCTTTCCCTCTCTCTCCCTTTCCCTTCCTTCTCCCTATCTACCTTTTCCCGTCCTCTCCCTCTCTCTCTTTATCCCCTCCTCTCACTCTCTCCCTTTTCCCCTCCTCTCCCTCTCTCCCTTTTCCCCTCCTCTCCCTCTCTCCCTTTTCCCCTCCTCTCCCTCTCTCCCTCTCTCCCTTTTCCCCTCCTCTCCCTCTCTCCCTTTCCCCTCATCTCCCTCTCTCCCTTTTCCCCTCCTCTCCCTCTCTCCCTTTTCCCTTCCTCTCCCTCTCTCCCTTTTCCCCTCCTCCTCTCCCCCTCTCTCCCTTTCCCTTTCCTTTTCCCTCTCTCCCGTTCCCCCTCTCTCCCTTTCCCTTTCCTATTTTTTCTCTCTCTCCCTTTCCCTTTCCCTCTCTCTCTTCCTTTCCCTTTCCTTTTCTCTCCCCTATCTCCCTTCCCCTCTCCCCGCCCACCCCAGCTTCTTATTTGGGGTCCTATGACGCCAGGAGTGCATGTACAGATTCAAGGTCTCCTTCTTCTCCTTCTTCTTCTTCTTCTTCTTCTTCTTCTTCTCCTTCTCCTTCTTCTCCTCCTCCTCCCGTCACTCACCCCATACTTACCCTCCCTTTCCTCATCCTTATTCTCACCCTCCTTACCTTCACCTTCATCCTCATCCTCACCTTCACCCTCATCCTCACCCTCCTCACCTTCACCCTCATCCTCACCCGCACACCTTCACCCTCATCCTCATCTTTACTCTCACCCTCGTCCTCATCCTCACCCTCCTCACCTTCACCCTCATCCTTACTCTCACCCTCAACCTTACCCTCACCCTCCACTTGCTCAACCTCAATCTCACCCTCACCCTTACCCTTACCCTCATCCTCATCCTCATCTTCACTCTCACCTTCACTCTCACCTTCACCTTCACCCTCACCCTCACTCTCCTTCTCCTCCTTCTCACTCACTCATCCTCCTCATCCTCACCGTTCTTATTATTGTTATTGCCAACATGTATGTCATCTACTCCGGTTCACGAATCCTTTCTAAATCAATATGGACTTATTTCTAGCCTTAGTCGTTAAAACATTAACAGGTTTTACACCGATTCCTCATTTCACTCGCAACACCATACACCCAGTGTTCACTAATATTTGTCTTTTTTTTTTTTTTTTTTTTTTTTTTTGTCTTGTTCCCATCATTTTCTGAATCATACTGTTTTTCTTTTCTTTTTCTTTTTTCTTTTTTTTTTTGCCTTTTTTTCCTGTTGAGTATCCATTTTATGTCCGTGTGGATGTGAAGATCATCCATTTTCCCCCTTTTTTTTCAAAATATTGCAATTCTTCGTCCTGCTATCGACTGATCCTCTGAGACCTCCCCCTTACATGTTTCTGAATCAGCTAAATCTTACCTAAACTGAGGTTAGTTTTCTCCCAACATATTAAATGCAAACATAGATTAATTTTCAGTAAGGCTATATGAAACGAAAACGGTGTATTTGATTTTTTTTAAGCGATGGTAGTTATCTAAGTTTAGCCGGCGAAGTAAGCGTTCGTTTTCTATGACGTGCCATTCTTCACAGAAAACTAAGTGTTCAACCACCAACTTCAACAAATCCCAGAAGATGACTATGTACAAATTACCAATTATGATACTTAAAATATGTTTAATACAACTTAAAATATATACGTATTTAAGACTACAGACCTTCTCTTACCAATAACTTTTAATTATTCTTAGGTTACATATCAAATATCAATTACCATACACATATTTCTACAAAATAACCAGTACTTCCTGGACTAAATACTCACGGTTGTACTGATACCGTACTAATCTTTATCGGCCCATGCAATATCGATTGGTCAGCAATTTTCTTTTAAATCTATCAAAAACTAATAACTTACCGACGAATTACAAATGTAAACTAAAAGCCTAAATTAATTCAACCATGAAGCTTTAAAACCCAAGAGATTTAGGCGTGTGTTAAAAGTGAAAATAAGGAGATGTGCAAGAATGGGAAAATGTAAAGTCAAAAGGAGAGGCTGAGTGAGTGGGAGAGAGGGCGTGGAGGGCGGAGTGAGTGGGAGAGAGGGCGTGGAGGACGGAGTGAGTGGGAGAGAGGGCGTGGAGGGCGGAGTGAGTGGGAGAGAGGGCGTGGAGGCGGAGTGAGTGGGAGAGAGGGCGTGGAGGGCGAAGTGAACGGAAGTATGGCAGATGGAGTGGGAGGGAGACGGAGAGCGAGAGAATGAAACCACTGTATGTTTCCCTTCAGAGCATCACTTCGAGAATATCGTGCGATTTTAAATCCACACAAAAATAAGCCGCTGTGCAATAGACACAAAAAACAATGATGATAGTCAGTATATTGGCTGTACTAACAACTGCAAATCAGACCGTTGTAAAAACTACGAGTCATTGCTCTATTCTCGGTTGTCCCGGAGGGAGAGAGGCCCCACCGCCCACACCTGCAAGGAACGAGAAAAGGTACGGCGGCAGGGCGTGGCCGTCAACAGGAGCGAAGGGAAAACGCATACTTATACTCCGATTATCTTTTTTTTCCACAGGGTGAAGCACAATTTCTTTGCGCGTGGAAACCCCTTGCTGCGGAATTCCCTACGTGGAGATAAACATGTCTTTGGTAATAAACAAAAGCCATGCACTGAGCAGGCTAAACGCAAATCCTTTTGGGCACTCGGATCCACACTAAAGGCATGTCAAACTGATCCGGGGCCAGACGTGGTTCAATGGAAAACATAAAAAAAGGGAGGAAAGTTGGGTGAAACAAAATTAAAAGCATTTCCACGACTGTCAGATATTCAATGTTTTAAATGTTTTATGTATGAAGTGTTTGGGTTAACAGAAGCCTGGAAAAAGAATTTCAAAAATATCCAGCCATTAAACCACGTTAACATGCAGCAGTTATTGTTCGCTAATTTCATTAGTGTTCAATTAATTAAGTCTCAGGTCATAATCGCTAAAAGCCCGGAAGTGACGCAGACCGACAGCAAACAAGCTTGACAACGGAGTCCGAGGAACCGGGAGGAGACATGCGGCGCCAGCTGGGCAGAGGACGGGACGAGGCAGGCAAGCATGCGTGCTAAGGGACAGGAGGTAGAGATGCTACAGGAAGCTAAACGTAACAGACAAGACAGACAGACAAAGACCAACAACACCAACTCACAGTAATTCAGATTGGGAAGACCACGCGGACTGGAGAAACCTCAAGGTATTGGACACGGCAGCGCTGCTGTAAAATCACACGGGAGGACAACATTACACACAGACACACAGAAGAAGTGCGGGCGAGGCTGTGTACATGGGGGAGTTGGCGGTGCCGCCACACCTCCACACTTGACAAACTGTATCTCAGGCTACTGACTTTGTACAACATGCAAGCACAGACACGTTACTATATTCATCACCTCACACCAGTATGAGAATAGTTTAGTACACAGGCAAGTGGGATTAGAATGATGAAAGAAGAATTATTTTTTTTTGTGCAGAATTTCAGCCACCTCCTACACACTACTTGCATAATTTCTCCTTTATCAACCTATCTCTTGCAAATTGTTCCGGTAAAGGTCTATGGTGTACCCAGAACGCCTCCGCCACCGAAACCCTTTCCACGGAACCCCCACCGAGCTATTCCTACGGCCTCTCCTATTGCCTTCGGCCACAACGAACCGCCCTTGGACACTCGACGCCTACGAGCCAGAGCGCTGCTCTTTGGCTCTCCCTGCTGGTCCGTGTCTCTATCTATATTTCAATCCTATACATTCTCACACACACACTCTGTCTCTGTCCCTCTCTCCCACTCACTCATAATCACTCATCCACTGACACAATCACTTCACTAACTCACTATCAAGCATTCACTTACTCACTCACAATCACGCATTCACTTACTCAACCCCAATCACTCAATCGCAATCACTCACACAATCTCAATCCCTTACTCAATCACAATCAATCTCTCAATCACAATTACTCATTCACAAACACTCAGTCACAATCCCTCAAACACAATCAATCTCTCAATCACAATCACACACTCAATCACAATCACGCACTTAATCACAATCACTAACTCATTCACAATCACTAACTCATTCGCAATCACTCAATCACAAGCACTCACACTCAATTACTCGTTCCTCTCTCTCACTCCTTGCGCCTCTCTCACCCACCCACTCTCCCTCTCCCTCTCACCCTCTCCTCGTTCGCCTCTTGGCCCTTATTAGTGAGCAGAGAAATGCAATGCTACCAAATCTAAGCGACGCCCACGGCACCTCTAGAGCTGTGGTTGTCAATCCGAGTGAAGGAGGGAGCAAAGGAAGGGTGATGATAATGACAACTGTAGAAAAAAAAAACAAGAATCAGCATCATCAACATCAAAGGAAACCCTAAAAATATCCGTCAAAAGCAGACATGCAAGCAGTAGTCGACGATACAATGCGGTATCCAAAACCCATTTTCTACAGCTTCTGGAACACGTCCACCACCTTCATACCCGAGCCTACCCACACAAGCTGTGTTATACTTCTTCATAGACGTCCCTTGATAACTTTCCATACTATGTAGCTGACACTATGACTCGTAACTATGATGCAGGATTACACCACCAACGCTGAGTGGCACTGGTAATGGAACCACCAGCCTGCTATTTATTAAGAGCTGTACCTATCAACAGTATCCTTTGAGCAATTTCCATATAAAATGGCTGGATGACCCAGCCGACTCTGATACAACCATCTGCCTACTGGTCACCTATGAGTTGCAGCAATTAATTACACAACACCGCAGGCGTGTGACTGAATCGAACCAGCTCCTGGTGTGCCCTATGTGCAGCGGTCAGTGAGGTTACGCAGAACGTCCACAAACACTGTACAAGAACCAGGCTAGCCGCGCCCGCGGAGGAAGCTAGGCCCTTCGGATACTCACGCGCTGTCGGTGGAGCAGACGTTGGTGCTGGAGGAGTCCGGCGAGCCGTACTCGTCGAGGTTCTCGGAGCCATTGTTGGCGACCTCCAAGCCCGTGCTGGAGGAGGTGGTGGAGGAGGCCGCGTGGCTGTTGGCGTTGGCGGTCGGGGCGGCGTTGGTGCTGTTGGCGTGGTGATTGCACCGTGCCCGGCCGAGCGGCGCTGCTCCTTGCCGCTGCCCCAGGCCGGCCCGCCCACGCCGCTGCCGCCCTTGTCTCCTGCAAAGCAACACGGACGTCAGTGTTAAAGTCATGTCATGAGAACTTGGGGTACAAGAGTAAAATCTATATCTGTATCAATACAACAAAATCTGTTTCCTGAAATATACATAACAAAATAACACCTTCGATCTCCGATTCTGATCTTCGGACGCCGATAACCGAACATCTCACGAAGAAAGGAAAACAGCCTAAGTAAACATGGCTCTGCATTCACACTACAAGCAAGGTTACACTAGTAGACGTAAATAAATAATGAGAGAGCCGATTTTTGGTACATCTGTTAATAACAGACTTTGTTCTTAAATTATAACAAATAGTAATGTAGTGACACATCTTACATACTAGCGTAATTACAGAGTTGATAAAACGTGGGATAACGTAGATATGACGATTGCTTGACGGAAGCACCGAGAGCACGACTTGGCCATCGAGGCGAGATTCGGAACATGGGTAAGTAAGGGAACCACATGAGATAATTATCACCATCATCGTCGTCGTCATCATCATCTCTTAGAAGAATTACTTCCAATGACTGCAACTTCTCTAAAAAGAATTATAACACATGGAGTTCCACAGGGCTCCATCTCGGGACCCATTCTATTCCTTCTATTTATCTATGAAAAAGTTAATGGTGCTTTCTAAATTTCCCACTCTTTGCTGGTGAAGTTTGCTGTCACACTCCAGGAGACAAAGATATGCCTCCAGCTCTACTTCATGTCACCACTGCAAATGTTCCAATTAAAAGGGCAATGCATACCAAGTTTCTTGGCATTCACACTGATTTTCAGTTAAATTGGTGAAAACACAGAAACACTGTAGTATCTAAACTAAGCAAACTATGTGGACTTATTCAATTCACGCATTACTCATGAGAGCCTTGCAACAAATATACTTTACATTGGAATAAGCACATCTTATGTATGGGCCAACTGTTTGGGCAGCTACATGCTCTACCTCACTTAAACCAATGCATGTAACTCAAAAAAGAATTGTTCGTAGTATCTTGGGTCTTAGAAGAAATGGTCACATACCTGGTTTCCTTAATCTCATTTATTAAAAGTCAAAGAAATAAAAAAAAACTTACAACTGTATTTTTTTTTTTTTTTTTTTTTTAACAAAAACTCTCTTTTATCATAGAATTAACGACAGTTATCCTTCACGAGACATATACTTGACATTCCATCCATGCAGAGTGAACAGTCCAAATCTTGTATATTGTATCATGGTCCTACTCACAGGAATGCTCTCCCTGAAAATGCACGCAATTGTGCTACTGTCCTCTTTTAGAAGTTCGTTAAAACGGTATTTATGATCTTAATATGTTTTTTATGTTTAATTTTACTTCATTTGTTTCATCTTTTCTACTAGATGCTCTTGTGTTTTGTATTTCCTCTTATACAGCACTACATATAATGAATGTCCCTCATGTCATTACCACAAGTATCCTTTCCCAATATCAATATGCGCAATATCATTAAGTAAATATTAGTTTACGTATTATATTATGTTTTGATTTCTCTTTTGCTCTTCTATATTTCTACATGTTTTAATGTTGTGTAATATACATTAATGTCAATGATTAATACTTGAAGCGATTTCCGAAGGGAGCTCACTCCTGGAGGCTCAGCCGCAACACTATTGTAAAATGTCGTGTTTATGTTGATATATGATGTTTGGCTAAATAAATAGTTTGATTCTGATTCTGACTCTGATTTGATTCATCATCATCATCATCATCATCATCATCATCATCATCATCATCATCATCATCATCAATCATCATCATCATCATCATGTATCGTCCTTTCTGTTGAAGAATGAATATTAACGTCCTTTCCAATTTTTCGAAAGAGAAAAGGTGAAAAATCTGGCAATAGACTTGTGGCAGTCCTCCTGCACCAAACAGGACAAGGACACACGTTTCGTACTTGGACATTCGAATTACCTTTTCATTCTTCCCCAAGTTGCCTGTTTCGACAATCCCTTTCTTCTGCTAGAATGACTCCAATTAATTAAAATCTTAAAGAACGCCCCCAAACATATTACATACACAGACTTTTTTCTTGCACATGTATCTGCAAGACTATCAAAATCTGCTGAGTTGATTTTCTTTAAACTGGTAGCAATAATTCATCGCCTGTGAAGATGCGGTTTATCTTTCATCGTTTCTTCAAATGCGGCGGATCAGTTCAGTCCCCCCCCCCCCGCCCCTCCTTCCCCGACAGAGCCGAGGGCGAGGCCGCCCCCAAGGCCCGGCAGGAGCCCGGCTGACGGCCACCTCGGGCAGGTTCTCGGGCCGCGCTCGCCCTTGCGCCGTTGGCTCTCAAGGCGCTCCTTCAATGGCGAAGGACTTAAAATTTCCTCGCGGTTTTCTCCCTCTTACTGGACTTTCACACTTTCTTTCTACCCCCTCCAGGCTTTCTTTCTTATCCCCCTTCCTTCGTAATCTTTTCCTCCGTATTTACTTGCTACCCCTTCCTTCTTCCTTAAGTATCTCTCTTCCCCTTTCTTCCTCTGTTCATTCCTTTGTTATTTCTCTTCCTTTTTTATATACCAATTCCTCTCTCTTTCCTCCATCTCGTTTTCCCTTCCTCCCTTCCTCCTTCATTACCTCCCTCCCGTCTCCCCCTGTCCCAATCACTCCTTCCACAATTCCATCCCATTTTCCTCACTTCCTCCCCTATCCGTTATCCTTACTCACTCCTTATCTCCCTCTCTCCCTCACTGCCTCTCTCCTCACTGCTTCAAATACTATCTTCGTCCTCTCCTTCCATCCATCCATCCATCCATCCATCCATCCATTCATGCATGCATCCATCCATCCATCCATCCATTCATGCATGCATCCATCCATCCATCCATCCATCCTCCCTATCTCCTTCCCTACCTCTCTCCCTCTCTCTCTCTCTCCCTCCCTCACTCACTCCCCCCCCCCTTCTTACCCCCCCTTTCTCTCCCTCTGGTGGAGCGTTTCCCTGATAAAGGTCAGAGCGCGGGAAATTCAAAGGATAGATTCGCTCAAATCGCAAATGGCAGATTATGTGATAATTCAGATTTCAATTAATATCATAAAGTTGTTAGTAGCACTTTTACCCCTAATACCTAATCAGCATATTAATTAATCTAAAAAAAAATGCACTGTTGTATCTACCGATTGACTTCCTCCAGTTATAAATCAAACTATTGATTAGCCTCTGGATCAGTGAATCAATGATTTACGTGGATTAGGAATGCCTTTACATTTTATCCTAGAATTATTTCAGCATTACAAATAAAAAATCTGCGAACTTTAAGTGAATGACAAAACACCCTTGCGCCTTGATAAAATGCAGTAGAAAATACTATCCATAAAAGAAATTCACACAAGGTAAGACCACATTTCCAAATATCTCCTGCGACTTAACAGAACTGTCAATATTGGTACCTTCTGGATTAGGTATTCTTAAAGGATCTCAGAGTTCGAAGTGGAAAAATCCTAATATCCCCCTTTCCGCTAAGAGGTCGGAGTGCACTTTTTGTTGAATTTCCTCTTCCGGAATATTTACTCTATTTCTCCGAAATTGCGACCGAAGTTCTTGTTGTTGTTGCTGCAGTTGCTGCTCCTGGCCGGACGCCACCAGAGCGCCTTTCTCCAACCCAAGCGAGTCCAAGCAAACCCTCTGAGTCTCCTGGCCCGTACTCCGCCTGGAAGCCCTTCGCGGGCCGAGAAGAAACCTCTGATCGAGACCAAAACCCCGAGCGCGTTCGGGCGTGGTAGCCGCCTTTGTCTCCCGACGACAGCGCGAATTTCTCTAAATAATGTCCAACTCACGACCCGTATTTGGTGTGTTGATCCGGACCAGAAATAACTACAAACGCACATTCGCCCAATTTACGTCACAGAGCAAACACACACGAGCACTTTTGTTTGTCTTGAAGGCATGACGCAAGCGCGAAGGCGATGATGGCATTTCCAAGACGCGGCCAAGGCAGCGGCCCCGCGACGTGAGCTCTCCGTCGGCATCCCTTGGCCGTGCCCCCCCCCCTCCGCGGTCTTCCAGTTACTATCGCTTATCAATCTGGGCTTTTTATCCTTTTTGTGCGCAGCCACTTTCGCCGCTTGATCGTCTTCAGTAAAATTAATTCTCGCGTTAGTGTGCGTCTCACACCTCCATCTCGGACTGACTCACTCACTATTCATTCTTCCTTGTATTTCTTTTCCTCCCCTTCCTTACTTTCCTTTCCTCTTTAACCTTTCCTTCCTTCCTTCCCTTCCCTTCCCTTCCCTTCCCTTCCCTCCTTCCCTTCCCTCCCTTCCTTCCTTCCCTTCCTTCCCTTCCCTTCCCTTCCCTTCCCCTTCCCTCCCTTCCTTCCCTTCCCTTCCCTTCCCTCCTTCCTCCCTTCCCTTCCCTTCCCTTCCCTTCCCTTCCCTTCCCTCCCTTTCCCTTCCTCTCTCCCTCCCCGATCCAAATACCAAGCGCCCTTTAAGCGACCTCCGCACCGCGGTCAGCGCCTCGAAGGCCTCGCTCCTATTCTGCGGCGGGATTCCTTTCACCCCCGGACGCAAAATGCTGCGAAGCCACCGCAAGAATCTCATAAACGCAGCCTTTCTTCTGCTCCGACGGAGGCTTAGCCTAAAGACTATGGCTGCCCACGTCCACACGCTGGGCTTTCGTGCGATGATGATGGATGATTGACTGATTGATTGATTGATTGATTGATTTATAGATGATGATGTTACATGATGATGATGTTAGATTGATGATGATGATGATGATGATGATGATGATGATGATGATGGTGATGACGATGACGACTACGACGACGACGACGACGACTACGACGACGACGGTGATGATAAAAGAGGAGGAAGAACAAGGAGGAGGAGGAAGGTTGCGGCGGACACAAAGATGCTCTTGACGAAAGAGGAGATCCCCTTG